GGCGAAAGTTTCTGCGGGGCAATAGGCCGCTCAGGCGGGCTACCTGCCTGCCGTGGCCCCACACCGCTCCTTGAAGTGGTCAGCTGCTGGCATGTCTCTGCAACCCCTGGCAGAGGAAGTGGCTCCACGCGCTGCCCCCACCCCCCCTGCACTGTCCCTGCAGCTCCCATTGGTTGGGAACCAGCCAATGGGAGCTGCGGGGGCGGCGCTTGCAGGCATAGGCAGCACACCGAGACACTATCCTACTCCGAGGGGCACGCAGAAACGTGTCAGCAGCAAGCCGCTTCCGGGAGCAGCGTAGGGCCACGGCAGGCAGGCAGCCTGCCTGACCCCTGCTGTGCCACCTGTGATAAGCGCCTCCCGGTTGGAACCTACACCTCGCCCCCTCTCCTGCACCCCAACCCTCTGCCCCAAGTCAGAATCTCCTCCTGCACCCAAACTCCCTCCCAGAAAGCAACTAATATAAGAGCTGTTCTAAGGTAAGTAGGCTATTTTGAATTAGCTATATTCTACATGTTTTAAGATTGAAATGTAACCACAGAAAGGCTTTGTGTTAATTAAAAGGCAAGTTTAGTATGGCGTTAATAGCCTCGATGCCATAATTGTGATAATTTTGTTTTAAATTAGGAAAGACTTGTATACAGGGGCCCCACAAAAATCTAATAGGTGTGGGCCCACAGGAGAATTAATCCAGCCCTGATAGCAAGGCAATGCCTGCCCCAAAGACTTTACAGCATAAATGGACAAGACAGAAAAAGGGTGTGGGAAAGGGAATATCACCTGCATGTTACAGAGGGGGCAACTGAGGCACAGAGAGATGATACAATTAAAAGGTTACAGGGGGAGTCGGTAGCAGAGCTAGGAACTGAGTCCAGATCTCCTGAGTCCCAATCCACTGCCTGAGCCACAAGCTCACCCTTCCTCTTATATAAAGATATATTTGAGTGTTTTGCGTTTTAATTGTCGGATTATCAAAGGTGGCAAGCCCCCACTACTCAGTGACTTCAGTGTGGGGTTTGCAAACTCTCAGCACTTCTGAAAAAAAATCAGGCTGTAAGCGACTTGACTCCCCACCCTGATTCCTCCTTTTCTCCACGAGGGTTTAATACAATATTTAAAAGAAACCGGTTTTGTGATGTACAAACCACCAAAGCAAGTCCCTGGCAACCCCAACCCAATTTACCGTCCAGGTTCTGGGAGTGAGAGAAAAAAAAAAGCAATAAATAGGTCATAGACAATGTATGAAGCCCTAAACCCCTGATCCTCACAGCCCCATCTGCTCTGGCACATAGCCACACATGCAGGCTTGGCATATACACACCTGTGTGCATGCTAGGGACAGCAGCTCAGCCACACACACTGCACCCATCACACCTAACCATGAGCACTGTCATAACTATAAAGGGAAGGGTAACAGCTGTCCTGTGTACAGTACTATAAAATCCCTCCTGGCCAGAGACTCCAAAATCCTTTTCCCTGTAAAGGGTTAAGAAGCTCAGGTAACCTGGCTGGCATCTGACCTAAAGGACCAATAAGGGGACAAGATACTTTCAAATCTTAGAGGGGGGGCGGGGGGGAGGCTTTTGTTTGTGTTTGGGAGTGTGTTCGTTTGGGACTGAGAGGGACCAGACATCAATCCAGGTTCTCCACATCTTCCTAAACAAGTCTCTCCTATTTCAAACTTGTAAGTAAATAGCCAGGCAAGGCGTGTTAGTTTTCCTTTGTTTTCTCAACTTGTAAATGTACCTTTTACTAGAGTGTTTATCTTTGTTTGCTGTACTTTGAACCTGAGACTAGAGGGGAGTCCTCTGAGCTCTTTAAGTTTGATTACCCTGTAAGGTTAATTTCCATACTGATTTTACAGAGATGATTTTTACCTTTTTCTTTAATTAAAAGCCTTCTTTTTAAGAACCTGATTGATTTTTCCTTGTTTAAGATCCAAGGGGTTTGGATCTTGATTCACCAGAAGTTGGTGGGAGGAAGGAGGGGGGATGGTTAATTTCTCCTTGTTTAAGATCCAAGGGGTTTGGATCTTGATTCACCAGAAGTTGGTGGGAGGAAGGAGGGGGGATGGTTAATTTCTCCTTGTTTAAGATCCAAGGGATTTGGATCTGTATTCACCAGGAGTTGGTGGGAGGAAGGAGGGGGGATGGTTAATTTCTCCTTGTTTAAGATCCAAGGGATTTGGATCTGTATTCACCAGGGAATTGGTGAAAGGTTTTCTCAGGGCTTCCCAGGGTGGGAATCCAATTGGGAAATGGTGGCAGCGGACCAAAGCTAAGCTGGTAGTTAAGCTTAGAAGTTTTCATGCAGGCCCCTACATTTGTACCCTAAAGTTCAAAGTGGAGATACAGCCTTGACAAGCACACACACACACACGTGGAGCCCCGGCCTGTCACACACATGCCCTGGCACACCCTGTGTATGCAAGTATGTAAGGGTTTCAGGGCTGGCCTGCCCCACATCGGCACACATGCACAGACAGCCCAACACACTCAAACAGCCCGACGCTGCTTTGACACTCGAGTGTGCCATGCCACAATCCCCAAGCCAAGTAAGTTACTCAGGGGAAGCTGCTGAGAAAGGCAGGGCCTCACCTCTTCGGTCACACCTGTGACTCCCTCCTGCTGCAGCGCTACCCCAATGCTAGCCGTGGCATCCCGCGCAGACACCCTTTGGTCCTCAGAGACTCTGGCGAGGATTTTGCGCTCCAGCTTCCGGAGCTGATCCTGTAGCTCCTCACGCTGGAGAACCAGGCTGCCCACTCCATCCTCCCTGGGCTGCAACAGGAACTGGCTGATCCACTGGGGGAACTGCGCTTCTACCTGAAACCACCAAGGGAAAGAGCTCAGCCCAGGAGAGGGAATCTGCACCGCAGAGCATGACAAACGATGGAGAGCGTGTGGGCAGAGCAACACCACACAAGGGCCCTGGGAGTCTGGCCTACAGACCCTTATGTGCAGGGAAGCCTCCATCCCTGGATGATACTGGATACGTGAGGACCACCCCTAACGGTGCCCAGGTTGTGGCAGAAGAAAAGGTCACCGCTCCTGGAAGTGTCCAGCTCATGAGGAGAGACGGGGGAGGGGAGGGGGAAATCATCAACCCAGAGGTGCCTAGCATATAGTGGGAACACAGTCCTAGATCACCCAGACATTCCCACGTCACAGTTTAGCAGAGAATGGGTAAAATGGGACTTCCGTTAAGGGGCCGGGCCGGGGTCTGAGACTCACGTCCTCCCGCACTCCCTTGATTTGTCCCGGGAGTGACTCCACGTGCTTCACCACCGCCTGTTGGTCAGACGCCAGGAGTGCGAGCTCCTTCCTCAGGCCTGCTAGCTGCGCCTCCAGCCTGCCCATCTCCTGCCGGAAGCTCCCCTGCAGGCCCTCTTGTGTCGAGCTACAAGAAAAAAAAAGAAAAAAAGGGGGGGAAGATAAAGCAAAATGAGCAGAACACAGCCTAGGTGCAATGGAGGCAGTGAGCTACGCCATGGCACCTCCAGTTTAGAGAAGAGCAGCAATGTATTGATGTCTTCCTGGGGTTGCTGTGCCCGACCTGAGCACAGTGATCTAGGTGCCATCTTGGCAGAGTCACAGAGAGAGGGACGGCCGTCTACCTGCTCCCGGACACACCGCCTTTGCACAGGCAGCCAAAGAGCACACTGGCTTTCTCTGCCACCATCTCAAAACTGCAAGAGCACATCCACCAGGCTGCCGAGCCTTGCTGCCACCTCCCTTTCGGCATCCCTGCTTTCCAGGTTTCGCTCTCTCCCGCCCACTAGCTGTGTGCTGGAGCCTTTCCCCTCCACATATTGCCTTGCTGATCTCCAAGTCAAATCTGATCTTGGTTCCTGCCCACGTTTGTTGCCGTTTTCCAGGCTGCATCAGAATCCGACACCCCTCCCAGTTTGGTATCGTAGATGTGCCATGGAGCCCCGGGTTCCAGATCAGGCTTCAGAGCGATCCCTGCGGGATCCCAACCGACGCCTCCCGCTACCGGCTCCTTTAGAAATCTCATCAGCCCAAGCAGGCTGAGGACAGGTTACGACTACACGGCTACACTTGAATACTTCCCGAGAGACGGGCAGGATTACCTTTGCCATTCTGAATTCAGCTGGAGCATCCGGGCCTCCACCTCCTGTGAAAGCAGCAGTATAAAGGAAACAAACATGACAGGATGAGATCTGTCACATGGGTGGGGAAGGGAGGGGAGAGTGTCTAACAACTTCGCGTAGGAACACAGAAATTGCCAGACTGGATTAGAGCCCAGGTCAGTACCGGGTTTACAAATGGTGCCAATTGCACTGTGCTCACACTCAGAAGCGCCTCCACCCGAGCCTTGGCCCCGCTCACTTCTCTCCACCCCCTCTGCCCCCCCATGCACGTGGCTCTGGGGAAAGAGCCCAAGCAAGGGCGGGGCCTCAGGTTGGAGTGTGGGCAGAGTAGGTGGCCGGACCACAGTCCAGACACTGGGCCCACAAACAGTTAATCTGGACCTGTCCCAGGTCCATCTAGCCCAGTATCCTGTCTGTGACCGTGGTCAGCACCAGATGCTTGAGAGGAAGGTGTAAGAACCCCTTAGTAGGCATGCATGGGATAATCTGCCCCCCTCATTAGGTCTCATCCTGGTCTCTAATACTCAGAGACCGGCTGAAACCCTGAAACAGGAGGTTAGTATCCTCTACAACATTTTTGTTCCTAATTATGCTAACTCTGGATGTTCTTGTTAGAAATATGTAAGTGTCCAATCTCTTTCTGAGTCTTAAGTTCTTGGCTTCAACAACTTCCTGTGGTGGTGCGTTCCACAGTCTAGTTAGACATTGTGTGAAAAAGTATTGCTTGTATGTTTTGAATCTGCCACCTTTTAGGAAGGGCGTTGTTGTGTGTTAATGTATGACTGTGCCTAGAACACGCAAGCTCTTCAGAGCCAACGCCTCATCGCTTGTGAAAAGTGGTATGAGATCCTGACTCACAGAAGCGGTCAGGGCCTGGGTTTTAGGTTTCCATCAGCAGCACAGGACACCTACTAATTCAAGGGAAGAGCAAATCCTGCTGCATCACCAGCAGCACTTCCTGCAGCACCTTGGTTTTCCTTGGTGGTCTCCTTATTCGAGAATTGATTTAGTCCAACTGCATTAAGCTTATGGGACCCTATGCGCTTGCAGTCCCACAGCTGCAGGCACTGAAGTGAAATGCACCTCCTTCCCTAAGAGCGCTTGGCCCCTATAGTGACACCTCCTTTTGAACAGGAGCAAAGTTCCTGGACTGTAGCATCCCCTGTTTTTGGTACTTGCATGCTTTAAAGAGGGAGGTCAGTTTACCTGAGATGCCTGAGTAATCTTCTCCAGGCGCCCGTTTAAATTCTTCTGCAGCTGGCCTTGGATGGTATCTAGCTCGCTCTGCAGGGAGATAGGTGAGCAGATGCGAGATCAGCACATATACCACCTCACCCACAATTTATCCTCTCCCCCACACCTGCTGTCCACCCACCTTTATGGCATACCTGCCATACTCCAGCTGCCCCAACCCTATCCCACTACACAACACACACCCCAGATCATACTCCCTGTACCCACCCCCCTCACCTGCACACACCCAACCCCACCCCCACTCATGCCATCCTCATCCACCCACTTTGACCCCAATCCTACCACTTAACCACCATCAGCCCTTCCCACCACCCACCCACCTTGACCCCCAGCCCCACAACAGCCTTATGATTCCCCCCCTCTCCCTCTCCCACCTCCACAGCAACAGGCCAGGGGGACGGGAAGGAAAGAGGTGGCTGTGACTTTAAAGGAGAAGTAGGTGGAGCAGGCCAGGTTTCCCCAGGAGAGGCCCCCACCTCCCCTACCTGGACATGTAGGGCCAAGTCCTCCTTCAGCGCAGCCTCTCGACGGCTCACCAGCCCCTCCAGGAGTGTCAGCGTGGCCTCGTGTGTCAGGCCTCCCCCGGCCGCCACCCCTCTCTGGAGCTCCAGCTTCTCCAGCCTGGATGCCTCCGCTTCTAGGGTCTGGAAGCGTTTCTCCAGACTTTGAAACCGAGACAGGATTTGCTGCTCTGCCTTTTACCCCCAGGGTGGCAAAAAGAAAACAAAACAAACAAAAAAAAACAATACACACAGTGGCAGCCTTACCCAGCTGTCCTGACAGCTCTGTACCCAACCGTGACCCGCCAGCGCAGGCTGCAGAGGGAGCGGATATATACAAGCATGTCCTCCATTCTCCACCAGGGGGCAGTGGTGTGTGAACAAATACAGGCAGGACTGGACTGCAGAGGTGTTTGAAGGGCAGCCCCCCACTCAGCCAGTGGAAGGAACTTATATAAGTGAGCACTTACATAAGTCACACCCCAGCAGAGGGCAGTGATGCACATGCAGGCACACGCATCAATCTCAGACTAAAGGGGCACCTCTGCTTAGGGTGACCAGATGTCCTGATTTTATAGGGACAGTCCCGATTTTTGGGTCTTTTTCTTATATAGGCTCCTATTCTCCCCCCCCCCCCGTCCCGATTTTTCACATTTGCTGTCTGGTCACCCTACCTCTGCTCAGCTAGCAGAGGCGGGCTGTATGCATACAGGTGGAAAATGATCCAGGCCCAGAGGCTACAGATGTCTCCCTTGTCCCCGCATCTTTCATTTTCAGGGCATGAAGAGGGAGCTGCTCTCAAGATTAGAGACAGAGTCCCTCAGCCACATTCAGTCTGCCTAACCCTGCTGCTGGAGATTTTAAGGGGTAGGTGCGTTAGCAAGAGGGGTGAGCAGAAATGCTGGAGCTCCCCTCACCCCAGATCCCTCTGGCACTCACCCGAAATAACGCAGACGAATCCCCGGCTCTAAGCACCTCCTCTTCCCCAGCAACAGGGGGCGAAAGCTTTGCTGCTCCCCAAGAAAACATGGCAGGGTAGAGCATCGGGAATCCAAAGGGGTAGAAATACCAAGCACCTGGCATCACAAAAAGGGGACTGGTTGGTTCAAGTGTGTGGGGGCGGGGGAGGTTTGTACAATAGACCACAAATGGAGGTGCATCAGAAATGCCCAGACAGGCTTCAGAGACTGTTTGCTCACAGATGGGAACAGAAAGCAAACAGGCCTTGTGACTTCACCACAGTGACCATAAGGTGGGCTCCTCTCATTCAGGTACACATTATTTTTGATAAAAAGCAACAGAGGGTCCTGTGGCACCTTTGAGACTAACGGAAGTACTGGGAGCATAAGCTTTCGTGGGTCAGAACCTCACTTCTTCAGATGCAAGCCATTATTTTTGATGCAGTTCACAGCAATGACCATCACCACAACAGGAGGCAGCAGAGAGCCCCCTGCAGTGTTGTATATGCTGAAGCTAGGACAAAGCAATAGAATTCGGCTCCTGACCCAGATGGTCTAGGGCAGTGGTCCCCAAACTATGGGGTGTGCCTGGAGGTGCAGCAGGGCCCAGGCCAGCCCCTACAGGGGGCAGGAATGGAGCACCACCCAGCCCTGCTCTGCCCCCAGCTCGGTTCCCAGCCCCGGCTCCTGGTGGGGGGTGGCGGGGGGGGGGGGGGGAAGGGGGAGTCCATTACAGGTAAGGGGGGCGGGGGGGAGACATAAAAAGTTTGGGGACTGCTGCTATAGGGTGTAGCCTACAGAGATTGTTTGCTTATGTTATACAGGAATGTGCTGAAACATAAGTAGGCTCAAAAAAAATAAATCTACCTCCTAAAAATAGCTTCCCGGTCATGTTGCAAAACATGTTTTGGTCCTAGCTGTTTTTCAAAACAGTTTTAGATAAAACGTTGTTCTTTTGGAAAATGTTATCTATATGGATAGTCATTGGTATGGCATTTATGCAGCTATTAAAGGCAAATCTAATATTAAATTGCCAGTGAGGCAGTAGAAGGTATTTTAATTATGGGGTGGAAATATAGATATGGTAAAAGGCAGGGCTAATGCTAATTAATTATGGAGTGTTGTTATAAGTGATTATAAGAAGGACAGCACGCCCATCTACCAACCAGGTACAGAGAAAGGATTACACCCATTCTTCTCATCCAGGACTGATCTTCACGGGATACATCATTTCATCTTAGAACGTAAGCACAAATGCAGAGCATGCCTGTTTTCTTTAACTAACTACACCTCTACCCTGATATAACGCGACCCGATATAACACAAATTTGAATATAACGCAGTAAAGCACTGCTCTGGGGGGGCGGGGCTGTGCACTCTGGCAGATCAAAGCAAGTTCGATATAACGCGGTTTCACCTATAACGTGGTATGATTTTTTGGCTCCCGAGGACAGCTTTATATCGGGGTAGAGGTGTATTTGATATTAAATAAAGTCTTTAATTTTATCACTCATGTCATTCACAGTCCTCCACAAAATTAAGTTACCTGAACCACTCTGGAGGCTCGAACCTTAAAGAATTCAGTTTGGTTTTATTTCTGATCATTAAACTACAAATTGGGAACACAAAGCCAAGGGCTACAAGGGGAGGGTGGATGGGAGGGTTTGGTTTCACTCATTCTGGAGATAAGGGTCAGCTGTAGCATTCGGAACTGGAGCTGGATCCCCTCACAGTCCAGGGGATTGGACCCAGGGGATGGGTTCAGAATATTAAACAGTGGTTACCAAGCATAGCGCTAATGCTGGATTTACATGGGCCAGGGCCAAACTCACAACATCCTGGCCCTTTGTGAAAGTATTTCCTGCTCACTGGAACCTGCCTTAGGGAGCGGGCCTTTGGATACAGACACATGTACAGCACAGAGGGATGCGGGCTCTCCTGTGACCTCACAGGACCATCGCATTGCCGCAGAGAGCTCAGGATGTCTTCCTGAGCTTAGAGCCACTCTGTCCAGGGCATAAGAGAGGGGGGCAGGGAGAACAGCTTGGGAGCCTGGGATGACTCACCATAAGCAATGGAAGCCAGGAGCAGCAGCAGCAGGAGGAGCAGAAGGAGTTTCTTCAGAGCTGAATAGCGCCTGGAGAGCAGAGGGGACGAGGAACAGATGTCAGTGCAGCTACCCATGCCCTCTTGCCCAGGGAGTTTCTGCATCCACTTGGACAGTACTAGGCAGCGGAGAAGGGGGAGTTCTGGAAGCAAGTTACACCCTGAATCTCAACCCACACAGCCCAGCTTGGGTCCATAGTCAGTTTTGACCACAACAACAACAACAAAAAAACCTGACCCCTGTCCTCACAGCTTTACTGGGGTCCTTCACACGAATATCTCACTGAGTTCCTTCCCTGTTTGGACTTTGTATTCCTCACCCCACACCTTCCACCTGTCCATTGCCCTGTCCAGATCCAGGTTCAGATCCACACCAACCTGCTTCCCTCTGTTTCTGGTTCCAATCCGCACTGACCTTGTTAAGACAAAGACGTCCAGCAAAGAGGCTGCGGTGGTGAGGCGGTACCACGTGGTTCCAATCCACCAGTACAACAGTCCAAAGATCCGGCCTGCAAAGACCCACACATGGCATCAGAACAGTCAGATGCCCCTTTCGTATCTTCCTCGCACTCTGGCCAGCATGCCTGCTTCCTTCCTCCGGAGTTCTTGCCCTCTCCCTGCTCTTTAGAAAGGCTATTCACCCTTTGTTGTTATTAAGGCCACCATAGCACCTAGGAGCCCAAGGTCATGCACCAGGACCCCTTTGTGCTAGGTGCTGCACAAACAGAAGCGCCCATCCCTCCTTAAAAGCACTTCTTCCCTGAGGCATTAATTCCCTGAAGAAAGAAATCCATTATACTGAATGAGATCTGTTCTGCTAGGAGTGCTGACCATCCCTGCTCACCTACTGCATGATCTAGCCCAGCACCACCATCTAATTTAGACTGTACAGCACCTAGTGTGTTGGGCAATGATTCTTTGGAGCAGGGATCATCTGTTAGTTGTGTGTTTGTACAGCGCCTAGCACAATGGGCTCTGATCCCTGACTTGGTCCTCTAGGCACAATATAAATAAATAGTATTAATGGGCCCCCTGGACCGTACCACAATAGAAATAAATGTCATTATAATGTCCTTTGAGGTATGTAAAGGCTTTTTCTCTCTCGGGTTTGCAAAGACCAAGCACACCAATGGTGCTAAACAAATGATAAGTAAGAATAATCCATCTCGAAGACAGACACACTGCAGACTTGCCTTCAGTATTCCGGCTATTCCACGCATCTCTCTTTCCTAACTGTCACAGTCCTTTAGCGGGCATGGTTTTTACTTCCATGGGTTTTGTTTTGTTTTTAAAACAGCACATGAGAAAATACCCTTCTGACCTGTGACTACTGCATGTGTGTGCATAGAGGGTGGCAGGCGTCAGTGTGCGTGGAAGAATGCTGCCTACAGAGAACGCTGACGGCCCCACACTTACCTGGAGAAGTGACCACCAACCAGAGAAAAGAGCCTGCTCGTGAGATGGCATTTCTGAACCCAGAACCAGTGCTGTTCTGATCCAAGGAAGAGCGACCTGGCACAAAGGAAGGAAGAAAAGGCCATATATCACAAAAGTGAGGTCTCATGTCTTCACTCACTGGCTTTGGAATAGCGGGTGGGATTTCCAGCATCCAGTGGGGGGGCCCTGATGCCTTAGTGAGTGAATGTTAACTATTCTCCCCCCAGCCGCAGAGACAGACCTGAGGTGAGGGGGGAACCCCACTCCAACCTCTCTGCGGTCACAGAGCCGGGCTTGAGGTGAGCCTGAAATGATGATTGCCTGCCCTGGTTGTGAGGTTATTCTCTCCCCATGCAATGGAGCCAGGACCTAAGTGGGTCTCTATTGGGAGGCCTCTTCCCCCGGCAACCTTGCTACCCATGCTGCTGCCACCTTCAGGGTGTCAGAGCCACCCCTACCTGCATAGTCATCCTCAGAGGAGTAGCCAGATGAAGAGGCATAGGTGTCATAAGTCTTGCTCTCTGCCAGCCCATTGATTTTACTGGACTCCGTACCTCCTGTGCCTCTTCTCCTCCTCCTCGCGGAGAGCTCCCCACCTGTCCAGGAAACAGAGTCCCCTTGAGAAACTAGCCAACACCCTCTTTCCTCTTCCTCCCCAGGCAGAGTGGGGCCGGTGGAGGGGACAGAATTCTGTAGGGTAGCGGGCTCGCTGCTGGTGACTCAGGGTGTGCCCAATTACCCTCGCAGTACTAGGGAGGCCCACCCCTACACACTTACCGTGGTCTTCAGCAATCCCAATACCTGCTACCCTGATAATTCCCCTGGACTGATCTTGGTGCCCCATCAGTACTGGCTAAGAAGGGCAACAGTCTTCCCCTGTGGGGCTGCGTTCCTTCACTCAGGGCTGCTCTATTGCGAGGGGGATGTGTGTGTGCATGGCTTTCTGACCATTGACTCAAGTCATTGGCAACCTGTGCAGTCCAGTGGACAGGAGCTGAGAAGACTCAATTCCCTCTCATGTGTCCCCTGCTCCCAGCAAAGGGGGCACCTTCCAAGGCAGGTCTGGGGTCCCATTGGTGAAGCAGTTTGGAGACAAAGCCCAGGTCTCAGTTAATATGTTCTTCTTTCACATCAAAGGGGAGGGGGGGCAGGGTTGCTGCAGGGAGAGGGGCTGGGGTTCCACTGGGTGACAGGACAGGGTACAGCTGGCACTGAGGGGAGACAGCACTCACCCCAGTAGGAGTCACTGTCCTGTGGGTCATCAAAGGCAGCGCTGCCCCCACCAGCAAGTCCCCTGCTGCTGCCCAGGTAGGACTCACTGATCACAGACTCGCTGTAGTAGGAGGTCTGGGTGGCAGGGGTAGGTCCCAGGTGGGGGGCTGGAGAGAGGCGCTTCATGCTGCTTGATTTCCTCCGTAGGGTCCTGCCCGGAGCAAGGAAATGAGAGAGAGTTCCTACGCTGCGTGCACATGTGCAGGGTGACAAGAGGGAAGTGGAGAGTGGCGAGCCAGAGCCAGCCTTGCTTCCGGTCAGGCTTTACATTGCCCGGGGCCCTGCCTCCCCTCCTCTCACTCACACCGCTGCTGAAGTCATTGGAGTGAAACCAGCCTGAGCTAGGAGAGAACCAGAGCACAACAGCACATTTTAAACAGTGTAAACTGCTGTCATCCATCCTTGCAAAATAAGAGCTCAGCTCGGGGCAGTCCCCTGCCACCTCCCTCCACACACACCTCTGGCCTATCACAGGGACCATCCTGCCACCCTCAAGCGAACACCCTGCCCTCTGCTTCCTGTCTGCTTCCTCTGTAGCTGCTGTGGTTTTCCTGGAAGGTATCTGTGATCAGGAGAGGTTGCTGGGTTGGGGAAGACGGTTTGACAACAACCCATAACCCAGGCTACCGGGGGCCTCCCAGCACAAGCTTGACGACTCAGCTCTGTGTAACTGTGCACAGCTGGACCCCACGCCCCCGTTTTGATCATTGCATCCCCCTCGGTGGTACAAGAGCGAGGGCAAGGCCAGGAAATGCCAAAGTATGCATGACAAGCGAGAGCGCTGTGCTCCTGCTGGGGAGGAATAAGGTGCAGGATGATTGTGAGGCACATAGGGGTTACCCAAAGCCAGGAAAGTAGCAGTAGCTTTTCTCTTATGCTCCTTTCACCACCAGTGGATGCAGTGCCCTGGGCAGACCTTAACTACCCTGACCCTCTAAGGATAAGCGCAGGGCGCTCAGGGACAGGCCCTCACCTCCCACAGAATGGTGTAAGGAGCTCTGGACAGACTCTCAGTGACCCCTGACCTGCGGCTCAGGAGTGGAAATTCACACTATGGCAAACTGACTCCTCACCTTTTTCAAGTTGGGCTACGAACAAACCTCGCAACCCTGCTGCAGGTGGGGGTGAGGTATACTGGCCCCCCACCCTGCACCCTCTTACCTGTTAGGACTGTCCCTAAAGGGGGGCTCCTGGCCACCCAGTAGCAAACTGCCACCACTGCTGCTGCCATCATCATCACCCTGGTAATAGCGGGTGGCCCCGAGGCGCTGGCTGCGTCTGGACATGACAGAGGAGACTCAATCACTAGCCAACAAGGTACCTGGGAGAGCAACAGAAAGAGATGGGGGAGCATGAGAACTCGAAGGTACTGCCTGGCGCTGGGTTGAACAGGGGGTAGGCCCACGAATGTGCACTCAGTTGTGGGGGAGAGGAAGGGATGTCCTGCAGTGGGGCAGACAAGAGAAAGGGCCTTGGAGATGCTCTGAATGCACAGATGCAATCCTCACTCACCCAGCCTCACTCCCTGAGATGTCACTGGAATTTGGGGTCTCAGGGGTTGCATCACCTGAGAGTCGTGGGGACGGGAAAGCCTGAAAGGCAGCAGCTCAGAACAGACTGGGTTGGCAGTCTCCTATCCTGGAGGTGGGATGGGGCGAGGGTTATTGCATTGGCCTCTCACCCCTGCAAACATGGTTTCAAATCCTGTCTTGTGCCAAAAGCGAGGAGAGTTCAGTGGATCTCAGCCAGTCTCCTCTCACCACCACCCAACAGCTCAGCATGACCGAGCAATCTCTGCTCGGCCAAAGCCAAGCTAACTTAGCAAGGGACGCCATGGGTCAGGACCGAGATGCACTGGCAGCGTTAGGGGGCCAGGTGGGCATCAGCACTAGTCCAGTAAATGGCCTGACGCGGCACCTGCAGCCTTCCCCATGACCTCCATTTCCAGTGCCCCAGGCTGCTCCAACAACAACAAGTTAGCTCAGCTTCTACACAAGCCAGCAGGCAGACACTAGCCTATTTCTTCCAGCATGTCACAAGCCAAACAGCTTGGCTCGGACTGGGACTAGAGGTCTCGTGGACAGAAAAAGAACACATGTCCTGCAGAAAGAGCAAAGCTTCGTCCATGTAAGTGCCTGCCTGGCACCTGTTTCTATAAAGCAGCCTCCCTGAAGCACACCAACCAAAACGTGAAACAGCCGTGGAGGCAGATACTTGGCCCAAATCCACCACTATGTTCCACCGTTTATAGGGTTGTAAATTCCTCCTCCCTTCATTCCCCCCTCTAAGAGCCCACCCACATGGGCACAAACTCCTCACATTAACTGCTGTCTTGCTGGACAGGGACTGCGCCAAAGCCTGGGTGAAATCGAACAAAGTAACAACTTTCAATCCCACCTTGTGACCTGGCACAATTCCACAAGATGCTTCCATATCTGGCGCCTTCCCACCCCCGCCCTGGCAACTCCCGCTCTGTGGACGCATCCTGCCCAGATTCTTTCCACACCGTGCTAGAGCACGGACATTTCTGTGCGTGCCCCCCCCCCCGCCGCCCCTTACATCCTGCCTCCAAACTCCTCCCTTCTAGATACACTGGGGGAAAGGGAGGGGGGAACTAATTACATCCCAACAACAGTAGCACAAGGCATCCTTCAAATGCAGCCAGGGAGCCACGTTCAGCCCTGGGCTAACGCCACTGAGATCAACAGAGTTACCCGCATGGGATAAGCTTGGCCCCTTGTCAAAGCAAACACCCTGCAGAAATGGCCCCTCTCCACTCCTGCTTCCTGGGTGCCCTCACGCCCCACGGGCGGGCCAGGCTTGCGGGGCCATGACCAGCTAGGGGGACAGGGAGCCGGATCCTAACCCGGCTCAGGCAGGAGCTGCAACTTCAACTGCCAGCGACAGCCCCCCTCGGCCGGCGGGAGGGAGGGCAGGGGGGAGAGCGAGTCTGGGCGGGGGAAGAGGAGCCGGATCCGGTCACTTGCAAACTCGGAAGGGGAGTAAACTGGGAACCCCCCCCCCCCCGGGCTGCTGCTTCCACTGAGTCTCCCCGCCCCGGGACATCCCCTCCTGCAGCGGTGCGTTCCGCGGCAACCAGCCAGGCGCTGCCCGCCGCGAGGGGTGGGCGAGCCCGGCCCGCCGCGAGGGGTGCGCTGTCACCTGGCTGCGGCGCTCTCCAGGCCGCGGGCTGGCTCGGGAGGGAGGCTCCGCTCCCCGCCCCGCTGCTCTCTCCAGCCGCCGCGATGTCGGCGCCTTTTGTGTCCCACGCGGGGCGGCGCTGAGCGCCGCTGGCAGCGCCCCGGCTCGGCCCCGCGCAGCTCCGGGCACGCGGCTCCCCGCGGAGAGCGGCTGGCTCCGGGCGCGGCGCGCAGCACGGCCTGGGGCGGGCGCCTGTCACTGCCACACGCTGCCGGAGCCGCCGGGCCGGGGCTGCCACTCACCCGCCGCCGGCCGCCCCCATTGGGCGGTTCGAACACAAAGGCCCCGGCTGGGCCCCGCCTTCCCGCCGCTTGGCTCCATCATTGGCCCGGGCGGCGGGAAGCCAGCTCGGCCCAGGGGCGGCCATTAACCCGTGAGCTCCCCGGCGGAGTCCCGCGCAGGCCAGAGCCCGAGGGTGCAGGGTGCCCGGCGCTGTACGAACAGGACAGCCTCTGATCCAAGGAGCGGGCAAACTAGGTGATCGCTAATCAGCCCCACAGACCCGGGTAGACAATGGCGCTCTAGCTTTGATCCACATCCCCACTATAAAGTATCTGCCTTGCAGTAACAATGGACCATCTTGCCCCCCATCCCCAGCCTAATAGTGGCTTCTTGGCTTTCCTGTTCAGTCTGGATTGGAACGCAGGGGACTGTAACCCCAGCTCTCCCTCTATTATAAATAATTACAAAGCCAAAGCAGCAACGCATTCCTCCCCCAAGGTAACAATACCCAGCTGTGTTGTCAGCTCTTGTCATTTCATTGTGAGTCTTGCACTATTATGTGTGTTTTCTTAAAGCCCTAGCTCCTGGAGTCCTGTGATGATGTGAGACTCTCTGCTTTCTTTTTTTTTTAAGTACATTTCTGGACCTTGTTAGAGCTTATAAGCTTGAAAATGTGAATGCTCAAAAGCAAGCAAGCAAATACTTAGATTGCAAGTTCTTTGGGGGCAAGGACAGTGTTTTCATTCTGTTTGTACAGCGCTTAGTGCATTGGGGTCCAGGTCTAAGTCTAAGCGCTGCAGTCAGTCTGTCTAAGGTACTTAAATGGCGTCATTGCCATAGTCTCTGAGGTTTCACAGTCATTTTTAATTTCTGTATCGTCACAATAACCCTGCGAGATAGGGAAATATTATAATCCACCTTGTACAGATGGGAAACAGGCACATAGAGGCTAAGTGACATGTCCATGGTCACATGGGAAGTCTGTGGCAAAGACTGGAGGTGTTATAGCAATGCATATAATGAAATAAAAAGACTCACAATTTATTATTTTTAAACCCCATGATTTGTAAGTTATCTAATGATTTTTGGGGCTTGACTCATGATTTTTGAATGTGCAGGGTTGAATGTATACATATTACAGAGCAGAAGCTTCCACCCCTCACATAAATTCCCACCAAATAAAGCACAACTTCAGCCCTGCGTCCGTGCAACAGTAGCTGTAGTCAGTGGATACAACTGTGACGGGGTATTAACCTTTTGTAATTATAATTCTGACCTATGGCAGGTGATGGAGACAGGAAATAAAGATCAAGCTCCTAAGGTCCCAGCACTTGTGTGTTACGCCCTTATTACAATACATGTCCAACTTTGCCAACCCTCAGTTTTATTAGGGTTTGGGGACACAAAGACTTTACCAGAGCAAGATTCTACTGCATCCTATAGCACTAAAAGAACCACAGCTCTTTTCAAAATACAGTGAAACCTGTACTAAACAGTCCATTGCCAAAAGGCAACACCCTGGGTTAAGCAACTACTTTATGACATCCCCAAGTTTTCCAATACAGTTTGGTTCAACTTCTTGTTAATGAACCAACTCTACCAGGCAGACGAGTTTTGCTGCTCTCTTTGCAGATTGCTTAAGACTTTTTTTTCACAATGTAGACAAAAAACCTGCTTGGAATTGCAGCCCCCCTGAGGTGGGGAATGGTGCAGTGTGCTGTACACATGTGGTGCACGGAAATTTTGGCCAAAGACATGGGGGCAACAACATGCTCTTAAGAAAAGTGTTACGGGACCTTCCATGTCCATGCAAGACAGACAGGGGACTTGAAAAACATTGACAAAGTAGGACATTTTAATTAAAAAACCTGATTATTTCCAAGCATGACAAAAAAAATCTGTCAAGCACTATAAAGCTTTGAGAGGGAAGATAAGAATCACAAGGTATATCTGCAAAAAGAAGAACAGGAGAACTTGTGGCACCTTAGAGACTAACAAATTTATTAGAGCATAAGGTATATCTGAGACCGATGAGTCCTTTAGCAGGACAGGAAGAAAGAGTCTTGACAGTCAGGATAGTTTAAAGATAAAAATAAACAAGCAGGGATGGGGTGTGTGTGGAAAACACCTTTTGAGCCTCCTGTGTTTATCACAAAATAGGGCACAAGCCCATTTTTTCACCTTAGGTCTCACCTTTCAGTCTCAAGATAGGCTGAAGTATGTAAATAAGGTGACCGGAAGTGATGTCAGCTATGATAGCAATCTCTTAGACCCAGCTGTCAACTTTCAGGAAGAAAATTAAGGTGGCTCTGCAGCATCCAAAGCAGCCTGGGAAAGGAAGATCACCATCCCTCATTCATAGCCAAGAGAAATGGGTGGATTTTTTGCTGTTGCTAGAAGCAGCCAATTCACCATTAAACCACAGCTTCAAAATGTTGCATGAAGCAAACTTTCTCTACAGTAAAAATAATAGACTAGGCCCGTTATGTGTTTTTCTCTCTTTCCTTTTTCTCTTCCTGGTCTATTCTTTTTCTTCTAATTCAGTCCCTTTTCTACAGGCTTGCAGAATCTGTTTTCTCCCAACTGATTTGTCTATAGTTTTTCACCTTTTTCTAATGTTTCCATTGATTTCCCTCCCCCTCCACAACATTTATCTTTCTTAACAATCATTTTGTTTTATGATTTGTCTTTCTTCTGTCACGTAGGCAGGGCCGGCTCCAGGGTTTTTGCCGCCCCAAGCGGCGACAAAAAAAAAAAAAAAAAAGCCGCAATCGCGATCTGCAGCGGCAATTCGGCGGAAGGTCCTTTGCTCCAAGTGGGAGTGAAGGACTGTCCGCCGAATTGCTGCCGAATAGCCGGACGTGCCGCCCCTCTCCAGAATGGCCGCCTCAAACACCTGCTTGGCAAGCTGGTGCCTGTAGCCGGCCCTGCGCGTAAGCCCCAATCCTGCAAAACATTTAAGCACAGGATTTCAATGGGATTTCTTGCATACTTAGGTGTTTTGCTGGACCAGGATGTAGTCTCTGGATTGACCAATCCATTCAGTCTGGTCACAATTCACCCCTGAGGACTCTGCCACTTGGATTCCTTTGTAGTCCCCAGACTGGAATCCTTCTCTTCAGGAATTCCTGCATTATGACTCAAAGTCCCTGTTGGGGCAGGGGCGGGGGAGCAGTTGGTGATCTCTAGCTCACCACGAGCATGTCTGGACAGTTTATCCCTCTGATATTGCGCTCTCTCTCTCTTTAATAGGTGGTGGTGGGGAGAGGGGCATGGGTTAATTCCACCCCTACTGAGCACCTCTGATGGCCTGGGCCTGGCCACTTCAGGGGTTCCCATATCTTAGGGTTGTGGTGCTGCTTCTGCTTTCAGGAGTTGATTGTGCTGGGAACTGTTTATATGGAATGTCAGAGAGACCCAAATTTAGCCCCAGTGTAAATGGGCACATTCTCACTGACTCCAATCCTTCGCACTAGCCAGGTGCCTTTACAGCCAGTGTTGGTTACAGCACCTCCTGCAGCTGTAGGAATCAGTCATGCCCAAACAGTGCTTCGCTCAAGTCCTTTTCCCCTGTTCCCATCCTCTCTGGAAAAAATGACCAGCACTCATCCTAGCTCACTCAGCAGGCACTTGACCTGCCCTCCTCTGTCCGGCTCTCTCTCTCTCTCTCTCTCTCACACACACACACACATATGCCATCATTATATAACTAGGGGCAAGTTCCCCCCATTTTGGCAGAGAACAGTGGCTGTCAGCCTTTTAACCAAGCCCACCCCCGCCCCCCAAACAAAGAAACAAACAAAAAAAATAAAAAAATCTCTCAAAACCAAACACAGAACAACAAAGCCCCTGGTAACCGTTAAGGACAGAGCCCTGGGCAGGAAATATGAAATTCCTGTCTCCTGGAGCCAGGACAATGACTGGTAGTTTCTGCCATTTCAGAAGCATAAAACCCAGGGGGAAAATATGCTGCCCTTTCATCTCTAGAGACATGGGTTCAAATCCAGTCCTGGAGCCACAAATGACACGAGATTGGTGGGTCACAGCCTTATCCCCAGTCAATGTTTTTTTCTTTTTCCCAAAAGCTGTAAAGGATGTAGAATCACAGGTGTTGGAGATGGCAAAGACCTATTTGGATACTTCTCGCACGTCCCTGCCTGTCCCTTGCCCAGAGCAGGGCTGTTCCCTATAGTAAGTTCCCAGGGCTTTATCCCATCCTTTCCTTTGGGAGGATAGGTCACAATGCAATAGACCCGCCACAGGCTGCCAGGTAGGAATGGTTTCCTGACATCCAGCTAAAATGTTCTCTTTGCTCAATTTCATCCCATTACGTCTGTGTCTCGACCAAGCTCTTCCTTAACACCCCCCACCCACCACCACCATTGTACAGCTGCTTGTGCAGCTCCACCAGTAGTGGCACTGAGGAGAGCTCTAGTGTAAGCAAGGCTCTGGTGTTTATACTGCCAGGTCATCTAACCCAGCTGAGAGCAGGCCTAGACAACATGGGGGTTGACGCCCTAGCAGCCAGCCTACATTAGAGCGCTCCCCACTGCTACCACTGGTGGGCTGGACTGCTGGTAACTCAGGGTATGTCTACACTGCAATAAAACACCTGAGGCACTGAGTCTCAGTGCTTGGGTCAGCTGACTTGGGTTCACTGGGCTAGGGCTGCAGAATTGCAGTGTAGACATTCAGACTGGGGCCGGAGCCCAGACTCTGAGACCCCCTCCCCCCGGATCTGAGCCCCCAGGCACCAGCCCAAGCCCCAACCTTTACATTGCAATTTTACAGCCCGTCCCCTGTTTATCATCATTGACCAAACTAGATGTATTTAAAACTCTTTTAACCTCTCCCTGTAACACAAGTGCTCCATTCCTTAAAGCAGGAACACTAGTACCTAGCACATCCTGGACGCTATCACAGACTAACAGTAGCACCACCAACAGTGCTAGCAGCACCTGCCTTCCCCCTGCCCCCATCGCAGCTTTTGTTGACGGAAAACTACTGCAGATTAGTTTCCAACTCCCCCTAGAGGGATTAGGGGGATAATCTAGGTGCTGAGCCACCAGGACTAAATATGGTGCTAGTCCCTGAATAGATCTGTGCCATTTAAAAGAACAACTCTCACGTGCGGGGGTGAGAGAAAATTCAAGCAGGGGGTGTTTGAAGAGGAAAGGCAGATAATTGATGCTGTTCTCCCAAAGCCTTGGCTGGCTAGTTTCTGTTTCTCTTTGCTATGACTTTAGATAACTGTGCTGAAACTGCGGCTCACTTGCTCTCCTCCCCACCCCCCCTCACCAGACCACAATCCAGGTTCTTCCAAGTGCAAAATCATGTAATCCCATCAGTAATTAAAAGACTGATGCCTTTTGTTCCCATGGGAGATGCAGTGATGTCACCACTGCAGAGTTTGTGAAGGATTTATCAAGAAAGAGGGAGGAGGGAAACAATCTGGAGAGACACGTGATCCAATAGTTTAGACACAGGGTGGGAAACCTTGAGTACTAGTCCTGGCTCTGCCAATGGCTCCTTCTCTGACCTGTCACTTCACCTCTCAGTTCCCCATCTGGCAATGGGAATTACCCACCCCCATTAATACAGCACGCACCTGAGCACCCCAGTTTTAAAATCAGGGCCAGCTCCTGCTTTTCTGCCACCCCAAGCAGCCAAAAAAAAAAAAAGACGACGGCGGGTCCTCCCTCTCTTCCTCTTCAGCTCAAAGGGGAAGAGAGGGAATGAGGGACCCGCCACCGAATTCCCGCCGAAGACCCGGAGGTACCGCCCCGATACTGGACAGAGTGCCACCCCTTTGAATTGGCCGCCCCAAGCACCAGCTTCCTACGCTGGTGCCTGGAGCCAGCCCTGAGTTCTCCTCACAATCCTCTCCTGAGGTAAGGAAGCGCTATTAGTTCCATCTTACAGAGGGGGAACTGAGGCACAGGGAGGCTAAGTGACTTGGCCAATGTCACACAGAAAGTCTGCAGCGGAGGAAGGATTTGAATCCAGCTCTCTCCAGCCCCAGGCTAATGCCTGGAGCACTGGACCATCTTTTCTCTCTTTTTTGGTTGTGAGGATCTAGCAGGTAAAGTGTTGTGAATGTGAACAGTCCTGTATATTGCTATTACCCTTTTTCAGGGAGAATTAAGAAGTAGTGAAAGGCAATTATATGAGAAGCTGCAAAGGTTTGCCTCCCTATTGGAGGTTGGGGCGGGGGCAACTCCATTGCTCTGTGTACCAGGGATTTGATAATTCCAGCTCTATTGGGGCTTTTCTACTACACTGGACCAATTTTTCACCATTGCTGTCACTGGGGCAGTTCCACTGGTGGTAGCAATGGCAGGAGCTCTCCTGCAGGCTATCTGCCAATGTTTTTAACCACTGTATCATCCAACCCTGCTCAGAACAGCTCTAGAGATTTAAAGTGCCAGCAGTCACTAGCACCTTGTTTTCATGCTAGGATGAGGGCAATGATAAATACCGAGCAAAGGAAGAGAGCATTGTAATGGCAGTGGCACAGGCTGAGATGCCAGTGAAAGTCTGCAGCGGCAACACGAGATCCACCACTATCACAGTAACGAATGCTTTTGCTTTACGCAGCACTTCTCTGAATTCTCCAAGCTGCGCACAGCAAACTAGTAGAGGAGTCATGAACAGAACCCAGGTCCTCTCACTCCCCAAGCCACACACTAATCACTAGACTATGATTCCTTGGTGATCTGATGCACCCCCAAAGCCCCCCAGTTACTGTGTCCGTGAATTTCCAGCCATGGCAGTGCGCTCCCAGTTAGGCGAGGGTTATTTATTAACTCACATCACAGGCTGAGTAACAAAAACACTGACACACCTTAAATGTGGGCTAAGGAGCTATGATTTTTAATATAATGGTCACTGTACAGACAGGGAGTCCCCACTGGGGGCTTTCCCCCTGCAAAATATTTATCTGTTATTTACTTGTATTCCAGCAGTGCTTTGAGACGCTAACCAAAATCAGGGCCCCATTGTGCTACGTGCTGTGCAAACACATAGTGAGAGACAGTCCCTGGCCCAAAGAGCTTACAAACAAACAGACACAGGTGAGAGAAAGACATGATTATTATCCCCCTTTTACAGAAGGGGAGCAGAGGCACAGAGAGATGAGTGACTTACCCAAAGTCACAGAGGTGATGGCAGCGCCAAAAAATGAACCCAGATCTCCTTAGTCTCCAGAAGTGTCTTATCCACAAGAGCAACCTTTCTCCCTAAGTAGCCCGGGCTCCTCAGCCTTACCTAAACCCAGCCCTACCCTGCACACTTACTTCAGTATAACTGCGTCGCTCAGGGGTGTGAAAAATCCACCCCCCTGAGCAATGTAGTTATACTGACCTAACCCACCGTGTAGACAGCGTTATGGCGTCAGGAGAGCTTCTCCCGCTGACACAGCTACCGCCTCTCAGGGAGGCGGAGCTATTATGCCGATAGGAGAGCTCTCTCCCATTGGCTTAGAGCGTCTTCACCAGAAGTGCTACAGCGGCGCAGCTGCATCGGTGCAGCTGTGCCGATGAACGTTTCTAGTATAGACCGGCCCTGCTGGCTCCAGGACTCTGCAGGAGCTGAACGCTTACCGGAGTTTGAAATCTACTTCCCTCCCCTGGGTTCACTTTGTAGGGTTCCCCTTTTGATTACAGCCAGACCTCCCTCTTGTCTCTTTGCCCCACTCACTTCCCCATCTAAACTGTCTCCCTCTCCCCACCATCAGTAGATCCAGGGACTATGCCCCCAATATGGGCACCTAGCTGTGGCTGCACCAGTGCTGATTCTCATTCAGCAAGAGTCCAGATTGCAGAGGCAGCCTTGGGGTCATGGTGGGAAGGAGTGTCTGCTCAGCCCATCACGCTTTTTTGCTCCTTGTCTCTTGGCGCTGCCATATTGCCTGTTTCAGCTTTCCCATGTCATCCACCAGCACCTCCTTCTGGCCTCCCTTTGTCATGCACACCCGCACCATGTCCAGTACTCGCTGGAGCCGCCGGTCCAGAGCTTCCAGGTGAGGCTCTGATAGGACTGGCGAGAGGTGGTCTGAGGCCAGCGCCTCCCGCATGACGTCACTGAGGCGGTACGGCTCTGTGGCAAGCAGCTGCAAGCGCAAGAATGTCGACTTCTTGATACTAAGAGTGGGGGTGGGTGGAAGGGAAGAAAGGAGAAAAGAAAAATCAACCAAGCCCCGACAACACCTGCTATTCATGCAGTGCCGTGCAGCCTGACTGATCCCAAAGTGCTTTGCAGACAGTATATGCAGGGATTGCTCGCCCACTGCTGAAACCGACACCTCTGGGGTGGGGCGCAACAGCCACTCTACACCATGTGACAGAGATCCGGCTTTTTCACTTTGAAAATCCAGTCGCCCAAGCCCAGACAGGGCACTTCCTGAACCAGAACAATCAGACTTCCACTGATTCCTTAGAAAGTTACCCCCTCTGGGGTGGAATTGGGCAGGAGGGAAGGGGTAAAAAGAGCCATTACCTGCAACACTGCTGGAGAGGGGCCAGGATGGACATTTCATCATGAGAATGTCTCCCAAATCTAAGGAGAGCAAAGAGAGTGTCGATTATGAGCGTAATGTGCCCCTTATGGGCTGTGCAATATTGTCCATCCCACCTGGGCCAGAGACCTCAATAGCAATATGGCAATGACATCACAAGTCATGTCTGCCACATCATTCCCAGCATGTGCAGAGACACCCCCTGCCAGATCCTTCCCATGGCCTCCCTGTGTCTGCTGTTCTCCATACTCCTTGTCAGCAGGAGTCCATCTCCCACTCTTACCCTCGGCCATTGTCCAGGTGAAGCAGGAAGGTGTCATTACCAAACTTCTCAAAAGTCTCATAGTGGTGTCGGTCCATGTTACCTGCAGAAGGGAGAGGAGAATGGGGACAGGGGAAGGGCAAAGGGGAAGGGGGAAAGCAGCAGAGAAGATAAATTGGACATTCTGCTTCAAGCACATCCTGAGCTCCAGGGATAGAGTAGACAAAGAGCATGTCTACACTACAAAATTACGTTGACCTAAGTTACGTCGACACAGCCACCACAATAATTAAATCACTTTTGCCTGTCCACACTATGCTCCTTGTGTCAGCAGTGCATGTCCTCACCAGGAGCCGGGGCACTGATTTAACTGTCAGTGTGGGGCATTGTGGGATGGCTTCTGAAAGGCAGCAATGGTTGATGTAAGCAACGCAGTGTCTACACAGACACTGCATCGACCTAACCACGTCGACCTAAGCACTACACCTCTTGTGAAGGTGGAGTTATTAAGTCGGCATAGTAGGTGAGTTTAAGTTACATCAGCAGGAGCAACATTGTAGCATAAACACTTACCGAGTTAGGTTGACGTAAGCTGCCTTATGTCGACCTAACTCTGCAGTGTAGACCAGGGCAAAGAAAGTGACTCATGGCGGGGAGAGGCTGAATTAGGGCTGTATGTAGCCTTTCTCCTTTAGAGACGTGGGTTGAACTTCTAGTGGGTCATCAGTGAAATGAGTTTGGTAGGCCTCAAAATCACTGCCTTGTTTGACAGGAGTGGCTATTTCTCTTCAGGGGAGGTCCCAGACTAGGACAGTGGGGGATGCTACAGCTCAGGTCTGTGTGCTTGTAGTGTGGGGAAATGGAACTGCAGGAGAGGGCTGCATGCCAGGACTGAAGTGCAAAGGTAGAGCTGTAGGTACGGTGGGATTGGGCAGGACTGGAATAGCTGGGAGTAGAGTGGAGCAGGTTGGAACTGTGAAGGGAGTAAAGAAGATGGCCTGGTTTCTATATATCCTCAGGTAGTGAAGGAAGAAGCTAACATATTTTTGGACCCCTGGTTATTTTTGAACATCTATAGAGATCATCAGAGACTAGAACAAAGCGCTGATCTTTAAAAAAGGAAAGAAGAATGATCCTAGCAAATCACCACTCAGGATAATGGAGCCATGAGTAATAAACAGCACAAGATTTATCAATAATAGATCTTGTCAGTCAAACTCTCCTGCTTTTTAGATAAAATTACAAAGTCAATGGATCTTAGTAAAACATTGGATACTGTGGCTCACAGAATCCTTACTCTTAAAATTGATGTCGATATCATCTTGGATATGTCACTGTCCTGTGGACTGGAACCTGGATGGAAACTCTAAGAAAGACTAGCAAGCAATGGCACAGTAGTGAGTTGAAGGAGCAGCCTAGAGAGGGGTACTGCAGAGATAAGTGGTGGAGCCATCTCATTTAACATCTGGAAGAGGGAGTGAATAGCATGTTAATGGCTTTCACAGATGGTACTAAACTGGAAGGAGCCGCAAACCCCAGTGAGGAGAGAGAAATAACAAAAGGGATTTAAGGGCTTGTCTACACACAACAATTGTACTGCTTTAACTATACTGCTACAGCTAAATCAGCCATGGTTCCTGGTTCCCCCGTGAGGAATTGCCATGAGATGCATTCCAACTTCACTCTAATTAAAGCAAAAGCTATAGGTTAAGATATTATGCTGAGCAAGGCTTTTGACAGAATTGTACCAGCGGCAGGTGGGATTGACCCAGAGCTCTAAAGAGAGCACATCAGACTTTGCTGGATGTGCTAGGGATCCCAGCAATCTGATTTTGTCTGCACCTGGACACCCTGCACAGGGACAAAATATGAAGCAGCTCACGTCCACAAACTGTTTTTTCACACCCTGCTGACAGATTTATTGACAGCAGCATTCAGACTGAACTGTGACCTCACCTGCAGTGATCTCAAGAGAAGCAAGGTCTGATGAATTTCTGCTTGAACACATGGATTCAGCGGTAGTACTGGAAGCAAAAAGGCAGCAGAAACTGATTGGATCTGCTTGTCTCCAGATACCAAAATTCAGTCTCATGGAACACTTACTATGGCAGGACCCTGAGAACTATAAGGTACTGTAAATGGCGAGGGAAAATAAACTCCAGTAGAGTTAAGCAGCTAATCATGACAACAGAGATAAGCAGACAAGTCAGGACTGATGGTCAATCAAGCCCAGCCTCCTCTCTTTAGCAATGGCCAATGGAAACTTCAGAAGAAAGTTTAACACTTGCTTAATGGACAATGTATCCGATAATATGCCTATATGGGGAAACAAGTGAAATAAGCTAATGGGGAAGATCTCCGAAGTCCCTTGCAGGACAGTGTTGAGGTATCAGCCAAGGAGATACCAGGGATGTAGCTGTTGTCCAAGCTGCAGAAAGAAGAGTCGAGAAGAAAAATGGTGACCACTATTCCAGTATGTCGTCAGGCGTAAGACATCCGGGTGCAGGAAAAGGCTGCACCAGAGAGTGAATACTGGCTAGCACAATGACATAGACCAAGATTTTAAAAGGTGATGATTAGTGATTTGGGGTCCCTGATCTGGACAGCCTGAAAGGCCTGATTTGGAGAGGGCCAGTACTCAGCACCTTCTGATAATCAGGTCACTTTAAGACGTCTCAAGTTGGGCATCTAAAATCACTCAACACTTTTGAAAGTCTTGGCCATAGTTCCACATTTATTCCAGAGGAAGAAAATTAGAGAGAGGGAGGCATCATCTGTTACAGACCCCTTAAAGTTTGGGGCATCAACATTCAGACATCTGCTTCAGGGAACAACCTTCAACTCTGGGGTCAAAGGACAGAAGTGTTTGAAAACATGGATAATGCTAACAGAAGGGTCAAGGGAGGAAAATGGCCTGCAGAGAAACTGGGAACTCCCAAAGAAGGAGTGAAGTTGCAATGCTTAGCAATACATACATGAGTCTTATTGCTCCACAACAGCATGCCCAGTTAATCCATCTGGTGGTATTTGACAGGGCGTAAACTGAACTGAATCCAGGAAAAGGAAGAGGCAGATAAGTAGCAGAATAAAAATCGAGAAAGGGGTGAAAGAGAAGAGATCACTGAGGACAAATCTAAGACATTAATTTCAAAGTCTAAGTTGTGTGTGGGACTTGGAGGATCCATCTATCCCCAGCATGGAGCTGAGACTGAAGGCCTCCAACTATTCTCACTGCAACAATCTGGGGCACCCTGAAAGCTATTAATGAACAATAGCCATAAATGGAGCAGAAGTAAGTCCAATGGCACCAGCAGCAAAATCAGCCTAACTGCTTGCATCAGTGACAAAAGATAGTGGAAAAGGGAAACTATCCAAGTTATGTAACCAGTTAAAGAAATTGGGACTCAGCAGAGACAACAAACAAGCAGTGATCTAGACATGCTCTTCAGATCCCTAAGTGAACAGAACATTGTGAACAGCACCAAGGCATGGCACTGGAATACGTCCATAGCAAAGAAGAAGGGTATGAAACAGGAGGGGCAGGAATGAAAGTGGTAGGGAAAAAAAACACTAACGGCATTAGCCAGTGACTGGGCAATAGCCATCATCGTCCTTCGGCTGAATGCACCTGTGCAGCAAATGCTGTAAAACTGAATATTGTCTGTAGGAAAGGGAATGTAGATCCTACTGTTCAACAGCTTGGAGATACGTTAAAAACACCAGCCACCCAATGTAAGAGCACAAGACATATAGGCCACATAGATTTACATCCCATATGGCCCCACTGAAGTAAATGTAAGTTCTTCTCCCATCCTATGACAGACATTCAGAACATAACCGACTGGTCTTTATTCCTGGCTTCAGTCATCAGATGTGGGGTTACAAAAGATCAGGTCCCTGTCACATGGCAGGAGTCAGGATGCACTGACTCTGGATGTCTACCCAGCAAATCAAAACCTGTGGCTGGCCTGCGCTAGCCAACTTGGGCTCACAGGGCTGTTTCATTGCTGTGCGGACATCGGGCTTGGGCCACAGCCCAAACTCTGGGATCCTGCCAACCTGCAGAGTCCGAGAGCTTGGGCTCCAGCCAGAGCCATGAAGTCTACACAGCAGTGAAACAGCCTTGCAGCCCAAGTCCCGCAAGCCCACGTTTCTCTTTGCTGTGTGGACATACTCTCTGTGGCTACTGTAACAGCAGGATTTAACCATTTTTTTTGCCCTCTTGCTTCAAAATAGATGGCACCATAACGCTAGCTGCTCTGAATGCCGATTGTGGGAAGGGAGAAGACAGATGAATCACAAAGCTCATAGATGCTATCGAGCCTTATTGCCTTGATTTAAAGAGTTCCCAGGGCCACAACAACTCAAGAATGGAATAATTTCAGCACAGCTATTTTCATTAGTTGGTACTATTTCTAGGGCCTTTGTACAGGAAATGTGATTTGTTGGCAGTGCTCGAAGGGGCGAGCCATTGGCTGTACACTCCAGCCCAGAGGATGCAAAAACAGATATAGAAAATGTTGGCCAGCTAAGCAAAGCAGGATGCTGAAGTTAGATGTGTGGGGGCGCAAACCTTGGCACAGATAAGATAAAAAGACACCTTTACTAAGAGGAAAGTAGCTCTCCCAGTGTAGTGTAGACCAACAATGCAGTAGTTTGGTCAACAAGGAAGCATGTGAAAGGACAATATTATACCCACTGTTGTGATTGTTACCCTGGAACACTTGATAAACTGGACTTCATCCTCCCAAACAACAACCTGAACCTCAGTGATCTAGGGCAGGTTATTATGATACCAGTGGCATTAATAACAGTCAAGAAGGAAACAGCTTTCTGCTGGTAATGGAGAAAGTGTAATATATAACCGGAGTGCTAAGAACGACATTTCAGAACGGGGGAAAGTGGATGAGCCCAGGGTTCATTTGGTTTAAAACAGAATTAAAACAAAATTCTGGAAATTAAAAGTTAAAATTAAGTGTAATGATGGAAATAGCTAATGTGATGTAAAGTGCAGTACCACAGTGCAGCCAATAGGGGGCAGAGCATGGGACTCATGCAGTAACACTGAGTAACAGCTGGGAAGGGGTAGCCTGGGAAAGCAGGAAGTGGAGACAGGCAAGTTCCCCAGAAGGGGCCCTGTCATTGTCCTGTGAGATCTGTCTGATCTATAAATAAAAGCAGAAGTGGCATGCAGAATCATGTGCCCTCAAGGATTTGCTGCTTGGCTTGTACTGAGCATGCTCACATAGACTGAGTATGCTCAGTAACACTACTGAAGCCAGCTGCCCTGACTCTGCCCCTCTACTATCTGCAGGCAGGGGTCATCTGTAGGGTTGCCAACCCTCCAGGATTGGCCTGGAGTCTCCAGGAATTAAAGATTAATCTTTAATTAAAGATTATGTCATGTGATGAAATTTCCAAGAATACATCCAACCAAAACTGGCAACCCTAGTCGTCTATGAATAAAAATACCTATGCAAAAGCCTCAGAGCCTCCTTGCAGGCACGAGTGCGTCACACGTGGGCAGATCTGTAGGCCCAGGCCTGGGAAGGCATGGGCAGGTTGTTAGAGGGGCACCCACTCACCCATCAGGAAGTCAAGCACAGTCATGTCTATGAGGTCGAGCAGGCGGGAGCCGCTGTCATAGGGCGGTGTCTTTCTCACCTGAGCACAGTAATTCTGATTCAGCTCCCACCTTAGAAGAGAGGCCGAAGGGGGAAATCACAAGGTGTCCTGGGCTCTGGGACTGGGGGAGAGCATCACAGAAACTTCGGATGACTTCTTTTAACCATTTGGGCTTCCCTGGGCCTTCTCAATCCCCACCCCCAGGAACGGATTTCAAGGGACAGTCCATGGTAGATGTCTAGGGTTGCCAACTTTCTACTCGCACAAAACCAAACACTCTTGCCCCGCCCCTCCGTTGAAGCTCCGCCCCTTCTCCAAGGCTCCACCCCCCGCTCACTCCATCCCCCCATCCTCTGTCGCTTGCTCATTTTCACTGGGCCATAACATAGGCGCCAACTTTCTCCAGCACTGGTGGGTGCTCATGCCCCCCCCGCCCATGGCCCCGCCCCAACTCCACCCTTTCCCCGCCCCTGGCCCTGCCCCATTCCAACCCCTTCCCCAAAGTCCCCACCCCAACTCCGCCCCCTCCCTGCCCCATTGGATCCCTTCCCCAAATCCCCACCCTGGCCCCACCTCTTCCGCCAGCGTGCCGCGTTCCCCCTCCTCCCCACTCCCTCCCTGCCCCGCGAAACAGCTGTTTTGTGGCACAAGCGCTGGGAGGGGGGAGAAGCAGGACGCGGCAGCGCGCTCGCGGAGGAGGTGGAGCAGAGGTGAGCTGGAATGGGGGGGGGCAGGGCAGGGAGCTGCCAGTGGATGCTGAGCACCCACCAATTTTTTTCCGTGGGATCTGGGGTGGATGCAGGGATGAGGGGTTTCGGGTGTGGGAGGGGTCTCCGGGCTGAGACAGTGGGTTGGGATGCGGGAGGGGTTGAGGGCTCCGGCTGGGGGTATGGGTTTTGGGGTGGAGCCAGGGATGAGGGGTTTGGGCTGCAGGAAGGGGCTCTGAGCTGGGGGGTGGAGCCAAGAGGTGTGGAGTATGGGAGGGGGCTCTGGGCTGAGGCAGGGGGTTGGAGTGTGGGAAGGGGTGAGGGCTCTGGACTGTGGGTTCAGATTCTGGGGTGTGGCCAGAAATGAGGGGTTCAGGGTGCGGGAGGAGACTCTGGGCTGGGGCAGAGGGTTGGGGTGCGGCGTTTATGTGAGGGCTCCGGCTGGGGGTGCAGACTTTGGGTGGGGCCGGAGATGAGGGGTTTGGGGTGAAGGAGGGTTCTCCGGGCTGGGACTGAGGGGTTTGGAGGGCAGAACAGGGATCATGGCTGGGGCAGGGGGTTGGGACATGGGGGGGTGCCGGCTCCGGGTGGCGCTTACCTCAAGCAGCTTCTGGAAGCAGCGGCATGTTCCCTCTCCGGCTCCTACGCAGTCAGGCGGCTCTGCGCACTGCTCCATCTGCAGGCGCCGCCCCACAGCTCCCATTGGCTGCAGTTCCCGGCCAATTGGAGCTGAGGAGCTGGCACTTGGGGCAGGTGCAGCACACGGAGTCCCCTGGCTGCCCCTATGCGTAGGAGCCAGAGGGGGGGGACATGCTGCTGCTTCCAGGAGCCTCATGGAGCCACGGCAGGCAGGGAGCCTACCTTAGCCCTGCTGCACCATTGACTAGACTTTTAATGGAGCCGCCAGGGACCCTTTTCGACCGGGCGTTCCAGTCGAAAACTGGACACCTGGCAACCCTCATGTCCCCCATCATGTGTGGCCGTGCTGTGGGAAACACCACCGCCTTCAGTTTGACCCAGCGCCTTGACACTGTCTGGACTCTGTACCACCTTCCCCACCGCCTCCTCTTCCCCACACAGCTGTAGGTCTTGCTGTCCCCCCGCCACATCTCTCCTGCAGCCCCCATCCCATTGCCACACTCGCCACCTGCAACCCGAACCTTCCCTCCCAACACACTCACTCCGCCTTCTTGCTCTTGTGGTACGAGCGTCTCCAGGGGCTGCGCCAGGAGTGGCGTTTGGCTAGTTCCTTGTCGGGCAGAAGGGCCGCCATGGAGCCCTCGAGCTGGTCCGGTTTGCCACACAGGGCGTGCTCCGTGGAGCAGTAGTAGGAGCACTCGCCGAAGAAGCAGACATTGCTGGCTGGGGGGAGCCGGTCAAATCAGGACAGAGCAAAGGTCAGCAAAAAGCAGCAGTCCCAACCCACCCAAAGAGTAACAGAGCCTATCTGGTGAGTGCGATGGCACGCTGGCTGAGGAGAGCTCACCTGCAGGACGTGGACAGTAATTGTGTACAGCAATCCATCTAGATTAGAAGAGAGCAGGTCTGCTCTCGTTGTTCAGTTAACCTAAAAGGGCTCCAGTGTGGCTGGAAAGCAGCAAGGACATAGCTGGGATCCCACTCTCACACCCACAGGCTGAAATACACAGCTAGCAGGAGATTGATGCGCTTGGGGAGAGGACCTGCCCACTGGGTAAAGTAGTTGGGAAGTCCTGTATCTTGGGAAAGAGGCATTCAGGAAGATAACTCCAAGGGAAGATGGGATTCCTGGGCAGGTAATCCCTAGTGAGATGGAGCAACCAGGCCAATAATCTGGATTGGAGGAAAACATAGAACCCAGGCAGAACCTGAGTGGCTCCAGAGCACTCAGGCAGGTGATCTCCATCCAGATGCACTGCAGATCATTCCTTAATTACATGTGGGTTGGGCAGTGGCAAGTGGGGTGTGAAGATGCGTGTCACTGGAGTTGCAGTTCCCCCCACAGGAGCCCAGCCAGGGAGCTTGTGATGGGCACACAGGCAGAGAACACTCACCTGGGGAAATGAAGAAGGTTCTAGCCAGTTTCTTGTCAGTTGTGATGTCACGAATCTCTTTAGTTATATTCACCAAACGACCAGACACTGGGGGGATTCTCCGGAAATCCAGGATCCTTCGGGGACAAGGAGAGCACACAAGGAACTAAACAAAACACAGGACCAAAGCAGTTTCTTCCCTGAGTGCTTGTTTCACAACCAAATGGAAGATGTTAAGAACAACATCTGCAGTGACTTTAGCTAGAGTAAAAATGACAAGGGCTATTGATCACCATGCTTTGGTGTGTAAGATGTGGGGTCAGGAATATCTCCACTACCCCACTGTCGTAGTATTGCACAATTAGGTGCAAATCACGGGGATTTTGCACCTTCCTCTGAAGCTTGAGATACTGGCAGGTGCTGGACACAGGTTTTCAGCCTAGACGGCCCATGGGTCATTGCCCTGCTCTCTCTTAGGTGGAGATTGAGTACAGATGATCTGATCCAATACAACAACTCCTAAGTTCCTGGAGAAGATTCTCTAATGCAGCTTTTCTCAAATGCAGCCACCATAGACACATGGGGCCACCAAGGGCTTTTCTTGCGGCCACAGCTTCCTGGGCTGAGACTGGGGGGGATATGCGGGGGAGCAAAGCAGCAGCCCCTCCCCCTCCCTGCTGGTGCTCCTAGATGCATGACCTTGGTATTGGTCGCTAGGGCTGCCAGCAGGGGTTGGGTCATGCCCCCCTCTGGAGACACCTGGGGCACAACACTGGAGGAGCAGGCAGCCAGTGAGTTCCCCAACTTCCCATGGGCAGTGGAGCTCAGGCTTTGGGCTTCAGCCCTGGGGTGGTGGGGCAGCAGGCTCTTGCCACAGGGCTTTGGTTTCCAATCCCACGCTCTGGCCTCGCAGTAGCAGGGCCCCAGGTTCCGGCCACATGGCTTCACGCTCCATCCCACAGTCGCGGGGCTTCAGGCTCTGGCCCCCCGCTGCCTTCCCCGGCCATCCACACCCCCCCCCCATCGCCCCTGGCCCCCGCTGCCTCCCCCAACCCCCATCCAGGGCTTAATTTGTCCCTAGGCTTGCCGGGACTGAGTTAATCTACTGTGAAAAGTGATATATGTTTAATATCACTTTTCACAACAGACTTACTAGCTTGCAATAAATAAATTACAATGATTTGGATGTGTATATGGGCATATTTATTTGTTTTTCCTAAAGCTAATTAAGCATTTTAGGGAAAAGTGTGAGAGCGGCCACCAGCAAGAGTTGGTGGCTGCACTCTCAGGCCACCAAATAAATTTGTCTAACGAAGGCTAGGAATTCACCAGAAACTCCCTGACTTTGTCATTGGGGAAATAAAGAATAGGTTGCATTGGGGCTGTGTCCTGCACCCGACGTGCAATGGTGGTAGATTTCAGTCGGGTCTGTCCCTAAGTAGATATTGGTTCACATCAAAAAATTACTTTACAATCTGGCAGGACAATCTGTGTTTAGGAGAGGCCTGTATTGGAAGCAGGGCCGGCTCCAGGCACCAGCTTGTCAAGCAGGTGCTTGGGACGGCCGCTCGGGAGAGGGGCGGCATGTCCAGGTATTCGGCGACAATTCGGCAGACGGTCCCTCACTCCGCCTCGGAGCGAAGGACCTCCCGCCGAATTGCCGCCGCAGATCGCGGTCGCGGCTTTTTTTTCTTTTTTTTGGCTGCTTGGGGCGGCCAAAACCCTGAAGCCGGCCCTGATTGGAAGTGCATGGGGTCAGTATTAGGGTACATCAGCAGAGCTGTGTGGCAGGCCAGAACTGGCCAGGGGCAGGCCAGTGGGGATCCTATGGGTCCGGACAAGAGTACATGGACAGAGCTGGATTGGGGGGAAGGCGAGGGGTGCTCTAATGTCAGGATTGAAGGGTATTGACAGCTGCTTTTATCAGGGGGTCCCAGGACTGCTAGAGTAGGAAATGCTGCAGGTCAAGACTGAGGTGCATTGCCAAAGGCATGTGCCTTCCAGAGCCAGGTTTGGGCCCATTGAATAAGCAATGTGTGTGCGGGATCTTATGAATGAATGAACATGGAGCTGAATCTACATAGCATTGTAGATGTGCATGATGTTTTGGTGACATACAGTCTGAATTAGGATTCCCCTCTTTCCCCACCAGATGGAGAAAGGGGGCTCCCTGCAAATGGCAGATCCTGTGGCTAAGATCTCAGTGCTGCTGCCAGCCTCCTTTAATAGATGTACTCTCTGTCCCCTGAAGAACAGAGCTGGGAGCTGGAAGGGCTTTGAGGGGCTCACCTGTCCAGGTGAAAGGCTGCTATTTCTGCATTGTGTCGTTCAAAGTCCGAGAAGTAAAAGAAATCTGCTGGGGTCTCTTGGTCCCGGGTCTGCCTGAAATGAAAGGGAAGGGGGGGAGGGGAGATGGGACAGAGGAGGTTAAAGCCTCCAGTGCTGAGTCTAAGCCTGCTCACCACTATGGGGGAAACTTAGGCTATGTCTTCACTGGGGGGGAGGGGAAGATCTATTTAAGATACGCGAATAGCATAGCTGAATTCGACGTATCGGAGCCGATTTATCCCGCTGTGAGGACGGCGGCAAATCGACCTCCGCGGCTCCCCGTCAACGGCGCTTACTCCTACCTGCGCTGGTGGAGTACAAGCGTCGATTCGGGGATCGATTGTCGAGACGCGATAATTCGATCCCCGAGAGATCGATTTCTACCCGCCGATTCAGGCGGGTAGTGAAGATGTAGCCTTAGAGTCATTCACTTTCTGATCTAGGTGCATGTTTTATGTCACTTCCGTCTCCAAACTCACTGTGGACACCAGAGCTGTGGAAACCACCTCCCATCCCCATTCATTAACTGCCTCAGTGTCACCCCATCGTTTGCTATATGTTTCACAGAATCATAGACTCCAAGGCCAGAAGGGACCATTATGATCATCTAGCTCAGTGGTTCTCAACTCCTGGGGCTGCTTGTGGCCCAATCAGCACACAGCTGCAGCCCATGTGACGCCCTCAGGGCCATACAGCACACAGCTGCAGCCCACATAATACATAGAGAGCTGAATATGTGGCCCACAATGGTAAATAGGTTGAGAACCACTTATCTAGCCTGACCTCCTGTATAACCCAGGCCATAGAACTTCCCCCAACTCATTCCTCAAGCAGATCTTTAGAAAAACATCCAGTCTTGATTTAAAAATTGCCAGTGATGGAAAATCCACCACGGCCCTCGGAAAATTGTCCCAATGATTGATTACTCTCACCATTAAAAATTTACATCTTATTTCCAGTCTGCATTTGTCTAGCTTCCACTTCCAGCCATTGGGTCATGTTACACCTTTCTCTGCTACGCTGAAGAGCCCATTATCAAATATTTGTTCCCCATACAGATACTTATAGCCTATAAACAAGTCACCCCTTAACTGTCTCTTTGTTAAACTAAATAGATTGAGCTCCTTGAGTCTATCATTGTGTCAGGTGTGTTTCCTAATTTTTTCATCATTCTCGTGGCTTTTCTCTGAACTCTCTCCAATTTATCAACATCCTTCTTGAACTGTGGGCACCAGAACTGGACACAGTACTCCAGCAGCGCTTGCACCAATCCCAAATACACAGATAAAATAACTTCTCTACTCCTACTTGAGATTCCCCTGTTTATACATCCCAGAATTGCATTAGGTCTTTTAGCCACAGCATCTCCCGGAGAGCTCATGTTCAGCTTATTATCCACCATGACCCCCAACCCTTTTTCAGTCACTGCTTCCCAGGATAGAGTCCCCCATCCTGACATTCCTGCTGTTATTCTTTACATATACATGCTGTCAGGCCCGTAGAGAGAAATGAGCAGCCCCAGTACATCATGTTGGCTGGGGCCCACCTCCTCCCATTTCCTTATTTACACAGACATTACAGATGTTTTGGGGGGCACCCTGCTCGGGACCCCCTGGTACAACCGTCCTCCCTGCCCCCCACCTCTCATAAGTCCTACAAGTTGTGCAAACAATGTACAAAATGATCCACTCTGAGGATTTGCTCCCCTCTACCACAAGAGGTCGCACCACCCCATCAGAAACAAACAGCTGACCAGCATGTCTCACTTGTTCCCAGGAAGGAGGTGTCAGTGGGGGAAGTCACCTCATGTCCTCACCAGCTTCCCTTATAGGGGCTCTGGTAAGTAAGCTCATGGAATAAGGCTAGAGTTCCTGCCTCCCTCAGTTTCCTAGCTGGATTTCCTCACCACGTAATGAAATGATTTAAGATGAGCCCAAGCCCAGGGTCTTTGGATCCAGGATGTTGGTACAGGCCCATCTCTGGAACTGACCGGGCCCTGGCCCCTCTCCTGCTGGCCTTACTCACTTCATGGGTTTGAAGAGTGCCTCTCCATAATTTGGGAACGTCATGATCAACTTCAGCTGGGTCCCTCCTGGTTTCTGGACTGAAATGATACAGATAAGAATCAGGGCCAGGGCAGGAGAAAAGGGGAAAAGAGAATGAGGAGAGGGACAGACAGACAGACACAGAAAGGGGGACAAAAAGCAACGCAGACACGGAGGGCATGCGTGGGGAGGCAAGCGAGACTGATACCTGAGCTGATGATTTTCTGTGTAGCCAGTTCCTCCAGCAGCGTAGGAGTGATGGGGTCCTGCCGGGAGTACAGCTCATAGCGATTGATGCCAATGTGGAACCTGAGCCATGTGGGGTAGGTATCATATGGAGTCTTCCCAGTCGGAAGGACCATCTCTGCTTTACTGCTGCTGACCCTGCAGCCCAAAAGCCACCCCCACATAACAACAACAGGGTTTAGGACATGCACAATGTACTCTCCATCTCCAAAGTGCTCCCTTATGGTCACACCAAGACAAGATCAGCCCCTTCTCACACATCTATCAGCAAACAAGAAGCTGGGAGGGGACTGGTTGGAGAGGAACATGGGTGGCGGGTATAAGAGGCTTGGGGAGGCTAAACCTCACCATATGGAGCAAGCAATGCTGGATGTGGCGCACCTCCAAAGGGAGGTTCCACAATGATAGACCCGCCGCCTTTGGAGCGCTGCCAGCGGAAGCTCCTGAGAGGTGGGGATGCCACCAGCACCCAGACCGTGGCCGCGCCCATGCTCCACCCCAAGGTCCCTCCCCGCCCACTCCTCTCCGCCCCCTCCCCCTGTCGCTTGCCCTTAAGGCAGGAGGTGGCAGAGAGAAGTGAGCGTCAGGTGGGTGGGGCCTCAGGGGGAGGAAGGCAAGCAGGAGCAGGGCTACATTTCGGGCACCAATGGCCCTGCCCCACTTCTAGGGAGCTTCCAGTGCTCAGATCCAGCCTCCCCAAATGCAAGAGTCACGCGTGGCCGATAGAAAGGAGCTAGGAGGAATGGCAATACAAAGAGAGGTGGGAGAGCACTCCCTGCTATTCCAGGCCTAGGCTTCTACACACATCTCAGTCCTGACCTACAGCATCCCTGGCTCTGCCTGGACTGGGCCTCTCCAAAGTGTCCCCTTGCATCTGGTCTTACCACATGACAAGTATTTTAGGGCAGACCAAACCTTTGGCCCACAGTGCCTGCTGGGCACAGAAGAGGGAGGATGCGTTATTTGATGATCCGAGAAAAATTCCACAGTATCACTTTAAGAAAGGCAATAGATTTAAACTTCTTAGCCCTGTTTTGCCTGTATTTTTACTTGGAGTCCAAATCTAACTGAATTCTTCCCATCATAAGAATTACCACCTGTGTGTACAGTTAGTTGTATGATATCAATTACTTTAAAGGAGACACCTGTATTTATATATTTTAAAATGTCAGAACAAAGGAGATTCATAGTTATTTTCCAGAAACAACCTTAACACTGATCCTTTATCCTGACCCACTATTTCCCTTTGATTAGTATGTCATATACCTCTGATTTACCTGCGGAGAGGAGTTCACGTTATCTCTATTAAAACTATCAGTCAGTGTAGTTTCTGCATACTTGCATTATGATGTTACATTACAGTAGCACCTAGGCCCAGATCCTTAAATGTACTTAGAAGCCTAAATATCTTTGAGGATCTGGGCACTTGAGAATAGGACCCCATTGTGCCAGGTACTGTACAAGCATAGAACAAAGAGACAGTCCCACCCCCAAAGAGTTTATACTCTAAATCTACTCCTCTCCCCTGGAAGTATACTGAAACTACATCATCTAATAGTTCTACCTTAAACAACACATACCCATCTTCCAGGTTAAATTATAGCCATATGACAGACTAATCCTCTGAGATAGATAGGATTAAGGTTGTTTGTGGAATATAGCTCCGAATTTCCATTCTTTCTAACTTTTATTTTTAATAACTACAATGTGGTTCCTTTAAAGTAGCTACTATGTATTTACAATATTAATTACCAACTGGCTTTTAATTCTTCATCTAGGCAATAGCGGTGACACAGGCACGTGGGGACGCAAATAACCACATGCCAACAGTGTGATTGTTGCACCACCAAGTCCTGTGCAGATCAGAGAGCATCTCATGAAATGCAAGGCAGGAAGTAACGCTGAGATTTTAGGTAACTTAACTGTTGGTCATCACATTTCAAAGGGGGGCAGTCTGGAGAACGGGAATGCAAATGGTTAGTGTTATGGAGAGGGGGAAGAGGACTTCTTATGCACTGAGAGCTTCAAGACTATTGAGTTTAGAAAGGAGATGAGATAGAATAAATATTTATTAGAATAAAAATTATATAATATAATGAATTGTATAGAGCTGGCCAGCCCAAAAGTTCCCATTTGACTTCCTTTCAGGAGACGAGGACAAGGGGGCCCTCCCATTACAAGGAAGTACATTTAAAATGGACTAAAGGAAATACTTGCTCATATCGTCTGATTTTGGCAGCCCAGTTTGTGACACTTTAAAGAGGCCTGATTGTCAGAAAGTATTGAGCACCTGCCCTCTGAGGAGCCTCCAGTGGGGCTCGCAAAATCACTAGTGACTTCTGAAAACACAGGCCATAGCCAATAACTAACCTGTGGAATTTACTGCCACAGGACAGCTGAGGCAAATAGCTTAGTACAGTTCAAAAGGAGGCCATTTATGAGGTGTGGAATAACAGTGACTCTGACTAGGATAAAGTAACAATGCCCCATGCTCCAGGGCAAAAGCTGATCACTCGCTGAATTCAAAACATCCCCACCCTCCCAAAAATATGGTATGATATTACACAGTTAGTTAGGTGCATTATGGGGATTTTGTGCCTTCCTGCAAAGGATCGGAGAGTGGCCACTCATGGAGGAAGGCCCATGGCTGGCTTTATCTATACGTGGGTAGCAGCTTAGGATGCCACATTTATGGTCATAGCCCTGTGCTAGAACACAAGGCTGGCTGGCCAGCCGGCATTGCATCCTGGCATTCTGGGATTGGGACCTGGCTCTTCTAAACCAAGGGGGGAGGAAAAGTGGGGACACCAAAATAATTATTTACCCAGGATCCAAATACATTTTGGGCCAGCCCTGGACACGATACCATGCTAGATGGACCATAGGCTGGTCTGGTTACTGTGTTCCTAAAGAATATACTGTGTCAGGTGGTCTCTCACCATTCATCACTCCCACTGCTTTTCAGCGTGAACTTCTCTTTGGGGTTGACACTGAAGAGCTTGTCTTTCTTCACCAGTTCCGGGATTGGGATCTTATAGAGGGGATGCTCAAAGAGTGCTGCCATCTTTGACCGCCCTGTCCATGCCGACTTCACCCCTGCCCACTGGTGCTTAAAGAGAACCATCTTGCTTCCGCCACCTGCTGGTGGCCTCCCTTCCAGTGAGCGGGAGCCTTTCTCCAAGGACCCATTGCTGCCACTGAAATCCTGAAGGATCCGCAGGCTCAACTTTTTTTGGACTGAAACTAACGGGCCGGATGGCGGGAGGCCCAAGGGGTTCGCTGCTTTTGGGATACAGCTGCAGGAGCTGGGAGCAACTGGGAGAGCCAAGTCCAATGCCATGTGCATCAGGAGAGCCAAGAGGAGGAGAGAGAAGAGCAAAATTTTAAACTTCCTCTGGAGCAGAGTCTGCAATCGGCGTAACATCCTCTCCAGGCTAATACACATGGCAAGGTGCAAACGTCCACGGGTGGGTAGGAAAGAGTTAATACTTACGCAGTGTGATCCCCTTGCCAAAAACAAGAAGGATGGAGAAGTCCCGAGCAGTGTAGCACCCTGGATTTAGAGTTTCAGTGTTAAAAAGCAAGGGCAATGCAGAAGTTGGGGTTTGCAGGTGAAAACTAAGCTAGCAACACCCATCACCTTCTCTTCCGCTGCTGTTGCCGTTTCAGGACAAAAGGTGATTGTGTCTGTCCATGGCAGTGAGTCCGGAGCAGCTCCCAGGTCCCTTGTGGAGAGGACCCCCTGGATGTGGCAGCTATCAGCAGCACAGCGAGAGGAAGGGAGGTTGTAGCTTAGTTTATCAGTGTTGATAAGGGAAGAGCCGGCAGTGCCAAGGTTAGAGTGAACGGGGCAAGTTCCAGATCAGTTGCAGCAGATTGTTCAATGACAGAAGTGACTGCAGACAATCCTCTCACCTAATCCACCCTGCAGCCTCTCTCCCAGACTGCTCCCCACATACTCACCCAAGTACCCCCATCCATTCACACTGACATACCATCGTACATAGTCCCACACACTCACCCTGACATGCCCACTCACCCCTACATCAGGACCCACTCACCTACTCCTTCCTACTCACATACCTCCCAGTCATCTTGACATATGCATTAATATGCCCCCATCTACATCTGCATTTATATCTACGTGCATGCACCTACATCTACATATTCATCCACCTATAAAGAACTTGCTCCCACCTCCTACTCACAATGGGACACTGACAGATATCCCCACTCACATGTAAATATATACTTACTCAACCACATATACACTAACATCCCCCCTCATACCTACAAGGCCCCTCAAACATACCAACCTCTTCACTGACACGTACATACAGAGACACTCATACTGGATATATCAACAATTTAAGTATTGGCAGAGCTAGGGGAGAGGGACGGGACTGGCACATCAAGGGTGCAGATCAGGAGTGAGGTGTGCTGGCAAAGCTGCTGTAGGGGTTCCAGACTTGGTGCTGTAGGTTAGGAGCAAGGTGGATGTACAACTGCTTTGGAGGTCCTAGAACTGGAATAATAGAGGATGTTTTGGGTCAGAATTTAGGTGCATCATCAAATCTGGGGTGGGATTCCAGCATTGGAATAGCAAGGGGTGCTGATGTCATGCTCAAGGTGCCATGGAAGAGTTATTCAAGTACCTGCACTATATGATACCTGCCCCTTGCACTACCTTGTTTCTGCTGATACCGCACTATACACTCTACAAGAATGGGACAAGCAGGAATCAGAAGTGGGAGAGAAAGCTGCATCTTCAATCGGTTCCAAATGAGCTTGCTAGCGACTTTCTAAGCCAAATGGGTTTGGAGGATTTCAATCCTTTTGAAGAGCTCCTTAGCCCTGGGAAACCTTCCTGCAGGAAATTCACCTTTCCAGTGACGTATAGTCACACAAAGCTGGGTCCATCAGGAAGGCCACGAAGGGAAATAGACAGGAGAGCTTCCCGGATTTAACCAACCCTGCAAAGCTGGCCATCACAAACTTAATGCAACAGGCAGTGGGACCCAGACCATCTTGAGGGTGAGAGGCCAGCACTGGGGTACAGGAGTGAAAGAGATGCCAGTTTTCCCTTTTAAATTTTCCTTTCACCTAAGAGATCTGGGGAAAGGAGAATAGG